TTATCATAAAATATTTAAGTTTTAAGATACATCCCAAGGACCTCAAAATCATCTGACATTTTTTCCCTGTTCATGAACATTCTTTCTATATAGAGAAAAATACGTTAAGATGTCATGCTATCAAATTCTTATTCTAGAATTGACTAGAAAAAAATAAAATTAAGATTTTCCTTAAATCTGGTTTAAAAGAAAGGCAGAAGAGTTGGGCCATAGGTTATTCTAGGCAATTAAACAGTCTTTCTGAAAACATAAAACTAAAAATATATTTCTATTATAAAGATGTATCTTTTCCTCGGTGATTAACTGCATTAACGTTGGTGGTTACTTCCAGTCAGGATTTCTGCTCATACACTTTGAATCAACTTTGTGGATTCTCCTAAGACAACTAATTTATTAATGAGTCATATTTTGTATTACAAATTATAATTTGTTCACCTAGTGCAGGGGTCAGAAAACTTGTGTAAAAAGCCAGGTAAGTAGTTATTTTAGGGTTTGCAGGCCACTCTGTCCTAACTACTCAATTCTGCTGCAACAGAGGAAAAGTAGCCACAGACAATACATAAGCAAGTAAGCAATTTTTTTCAATAAAATAAGAAAAAAGGCAGTGGGACCAATTTGGCCCATGGCTATAATTTGTCAACACCTACTTCAAACCATTATTTTAAATGTCACTGTGAAAATTTTCAAATATACAGAAAATCAAAGAGAAAACCATATACTATTATTTAGATTTAACAATTAACATTTTTCCACATTCACCCTATGTTATTGCTAAATTACCGTAAGGAAAATTTCTTTTCTTTTTAAGTTTATGTATTCATTTTGTGTGCGAGAGAGAGAGAGTGCACAAGCTGTGGAGGGGCAGAGAGAGAGGGAGAGAAAATCCCAAGCAGGCTCTGCACTGATAGCGTGGAGCCCAACTCGGGGCTGGAACTCACGAACCATGAGATCATGACCTGAGGCGAAATCCAGGGTTAGACACTTAACCGACTGTGCCACCTAGGCACCTGTACCATAAGGAAAATTTCTGTCACCAGTTTTGCCCATGCATAATTTAGCAGTGTCTTTAAAAATAAAGACATATTACTACATAACCTAATAAAATGTATAATAATTCCCTGTCTATATTTAAATTTTGCCAAATATCTCCAAAGTTATTTCTATAGCTGTTTTGTTCAAATCAGGGATCTAATGAAGGGTCAGACATTATATTTGGTTGTTACATATTAAAAGAAAAGTATCTTTTAATCTAAACAGCAGCCTCCAAGGGCGCCTGGGTGGCTCAGTCAGTTAAGCATCCGACTCTTGGTTTCAGCTCAGGGCATGATCTCACAGTTCGTGGGTTCAAGCCCCACGTCAGGCTCTGTGCTGACAGTGCTGAGCCTGCTTGGGATTCTATGTCTTCCTCTTTCTCTGTTGCACGCTTTTTCTCTTAAAAATAAATAGCTTTAAAAAAAATAATAGCAGCCTCCATCCCCCCAGACTTTCGTGTGACTTACTGAGAAATACTGTGATTTTAAAAAATGTGAACAGGGGCGCCTGGGTGGCGCAGTCGGTTAAGCGTCCGACTTCAGCCAGGTCACGATCTCGCGGTCCGCGAGTTCGAGCCCTGCGTCGGGCTCTGGGCTGATGGCTCAGAGCCTGGAGCCTGTTTCCGATTCTGTGTCTCCCTCTCTCTCTGCCCCTCCCCCATTCATGCTCTGTCTCTCTCTGTCCCAAAAATAAATAAATGTTGAAAAAAAAAAAATTAAAAAAAAAAATGTGAACAAGATCTGAAATCAATACATCTCAAAGGAACATTAATATAGAGACAAATACAAACATTTTTGTTTATAGTATCCTTAATATAGTTACCTCAATTTCTCTATTTTTAAGATTTATTTTATTTCCCTTATTTTTTTAAACAATTTGTGGAGCTGATTAGGGTAATTTGACACATATATGAAAGCAGAGTTCCACATATGACATCAAAGCATATTTCATAGGGTTTCTCTGAAATATATGAATCCATGCTATGGGTATTATGCATATGAAGGGGGATAGAATGGTCAGTTACTTTAATTAGGCTTAAGACATTCTAGATTCATAGAATCCATCACCTTTAGTGAAAGATGCTGATTATTTTGTCTTTCAAGAAGGTATTACAGTATCTCAAACTGTGAACAAATATACAAAGTAGGCACTTAAGAAGACATTCTAGAGTTTGCAGTGCCTCATGAGAGAGAGGAAAATCCCTTCCCAGGAGAACTTTGATCCCTGTCAGAAAAATCTGTCAGCTTCTCAGGGAAATTCCAAATACAGAAATTACCCCAAATTTCGTAAAATTTCTAGAAACAAGAACTGTTGGTATATATGTGGTAACTCCCACACTAACCAATATTCAGATAGAAACAGGGTCTGGTGAGACCAGAAACCAACTTGTGTAGCAATGTTATGTGACAGTGTGATATGAAATCACAGATAAAGTGGCTGGAAGAAATAATTGAGAAAATGTGAATATAGAAATGGGAGGGGTTTGTGTTGACTGTGTTTTAGAGTATCTTAACTCATTGTCATCAAGAAATAGGATCACTAAGGAGGAAAAGGGACTGGGTAAACTCACATAATAAGAGTTCATAAAGGAAAGGGAAGCAAAAGGCATTAAATGGAAACTCAGAAAGCTAGAAGTCTCCCATATGAGAAAAGGAATATAGCAGATTTAATTAAAGGGAGTTAAATTTCTAAAGAACAAGCATTAAGGCTTAGGACGAGACAGAAGATAATAAAAGCAATGATGCTCTCACCTCTCTACACTGTGCAATATGTTAACCACTGGCCACATGTGGTTATTTAAACTTAAATTAGCTATTAAATGAAGTTAAAAATTCAGTCATATTAGCTACATCTCAAATGCTCAGTAGCCACAGATGGTTAGTGACTACTGCACTGGATAGCACAGATAGAGAACACTTCCTTCCATGTTTCAGAAAGTTCTATTAGACAACACCGTTCTAAGGAGACGAAGATAGTAGGAAAGAGGAAAAGGCAGGGAAAGAAGTGAAGAAGGAGGAATGATGATTCATAAACTCCCTTTCCTACTTGTGCTTAATGTCACTAGTTCTCATGGGACAGTCAGGATAGCCGCTGCTCTGCAACATTAAGGTTCTGTCACACCTCCTCTCCAGAGAGCTGCTGGAGAGATCACCGCCGACAAAGGCTCTTGGTGCTGGGACTCTGGGAGTAGGGCTTTGAGTTAGGGGTGGAGCCAGGGTTGGGCCTGGGGAAAGGGCATTCAATGGATGAAGAGGGCCTGTGCATAGCCTAGCACCATGCCCAAAATTCAAGGTGGATAAAACATTCACTTGCCACTGGAAAGGTGAAAGAGAAGATCCTCTCATCTCTGGTGCTCAGTGAGTTTTCAGTCATTCACAGTCATACAGTCCTACTACTAATATCTTGCTCACACTAAGTCATAGGTCAACACTCACATTCTATCTTACTCCCCTAAGAGAAATTTGGCCTGAGACTATTCCTCTTATTTCATTTATTCATAACGATCAATTCTTATCATTAGCATTCTTATTCACTGAAACTACATACAGGCATTGCATTTCCTTCTCTCTAAGCTCCATGAGGAACGGCATGAAATTTCAAACCACCATTGAGGGACCTTCTTTGCCACACATCTGTAGTGAAATGACTGCATTTGGTAGAGCCTCGGACCCTCAGAGATATCCTCTCTTTCTGAGATATGCTTTGTGTCTTTTTGACCATAATCAACATCTTCTCAGCTGGATCTCTTGTTCCACACTGCCATTTCAAGATTTCCCACCACTCACGATGTGTATGCTATACACTGCCAGGTGAAGACAGCATAACCCAAGAACACTTTCAGTGTTGCCCTGTGAGAGTCACTATTTTCATAAATTCCAGGGCTGCCTTCAGTCTCCCATTTGCATGTGTGGGCAGCCATTTCTTCAGTGTATTCCCCATGTTCTAATTGGCTCGCTATCCGGATTCTTGGCTTTGTGCTTCGGACTCGTCATTGACTTTTCACCCACCTCACCTGCAGAGCAGCTGTCTCTGGATTTTCATTAGCATTTCAGGCAGTGATCTTCATTTGTAAAACTACTGACAAGATTTTAATTGGTGATCTTGATTTTTACATTTAATCTGGCTTAGAGATATTTTAAATTTTGTTTTGCTACATTTGATAAGGGCAGAACCTTAAAAAGGGAAAAGTACTTGAGGAGAGAAGACACTCGGTTAGAGAGAAAAGAGAGGCTTCCTGGACTCCAGCTGTCTGCTTAAAGGGAACTGTGACATATGCAGAGGACCTTATAACAGTAAGTATCATAGTTTTGCTTGTTTGGATTAACACTTTTTAAAAAAATCCTCACTCTTAACATCAGCAAATTTTCTGTTTCTTTTACAATAACTTAAAAAAATGACTGAATATTTTCTAACATCCACTGAAATGGAAAGTTTATGATTTTTGACTATGACCTGAAGGTTCTTACTATTATTAGTCTGAACCAGATAATCCTTTTTGAATAATATCAGTATCCAGACTACACTTGCCTGTTTAAGAGAGAAGCTTAAACAGCTTATAAATAAAGCACAGGGAAAGCCCCTATCAAGTGTATAACTCTCCATACGTCTGATCATTTTAGATGCTTGACACTGAAAACCTTCATTAAAGAAGTGAATCTTCCAGCCCCACAGAGAGCTGCCTTTCAACTGGAAGAAGGGTGTGTCCCTAAGCTTTTACCTGGGAGCAATGATGATCTTGTCAAGCATTTCAGTGAGACCAGCCCAAGTTTTTAGGGTGGGGATCTAGACTGGTTATACGTACCTTCAGTTCTTCTCCCAGAGAAGGCAGAAACACCTCAAAGCCTGCATGTAAGAACATCTACTGAGAAATTATTTTAATCAGACACCAGCTGAGTGGGGGAAAGAAAAAGAACAGAGAAGAACAAACAAAACTCCCTTGGTCTTGGATGTAAGAGAACCCAGCTGCAATGGACTGGCACTTTGTTAGAACAGCTGCAGTGCTGTTCATTTTTCTGGTAAGTGGATTCTGTTAAAAAAACCCTCATAATCATGCTCATTGTGAACAAGTGAGAACTTTTTTAGAAAGTGTTATTTAGTGTTATTTCTAACCTAAACCCATTAAAAGTTTATGTTAATGACAAGGTGATTTTATGAACTAGATTTTTAAATAGTGTTTCTCTCCTTAATTGAAGACTCGAGCATATTAATGCATCAGTGTCAACTCACCCTATCACATCTCTGATACTGAAGTCAGTGCTAAGTCATGCCGGGAAAATACTGAATTTGGGGAAGTCTCATCGCTGCTTGATAGCATTTGGTTGTTCAAATTCCTTTTTGCAGGGGGGCTCTTAAGCTAATATCACAGGTGTGTCCTGATTTTTACCCTAAACATTTTTCCATTCTTTGGGTAACTCTGCTGGCAAATTCACTATAAAAATAGGATACATATAAATTAAAAAGCATAGCAATTTGCGACTGGCCTCACAATCCAAACTGTCTCATTGGTTCCAGATATGTTTGGGATTCATATCACTAACATCAAAAGCCCCACACTGCTAAGCTATGATTTACTGAAAACATTTTTTAATGTCAAAAACCATGACAATATGGGAGATTTGTAGATGATATAATAAGTGAAGGAATAGCTATAATTAAGGAGTGAGTATAATTATTATGATACTGGTTCTTACTACTGGAAAATGAGCAATGACTGCGATATGAAAGTTGTGTTTGATGGTCAGACAAATGTAATGAGATGTTTTATCACCGTCTCCCTTACACATCATTAATTTTCTCTTTTTAGAGATAATAAAGATAACACTGAGTTGCTGCATCCAGTTTCACTTCTGTTGGGAATTTTAAAATCAGAGTCTTTCTCACAGTAAGGTTAATGTTATCCAAAGAGGCAAGTACCAGGCAAATCACCCTCCAATTTGGCAGCATATAGTCCTGTGGGTCATATTTGTTTCTACTTGCTTAAGTTTTGAACTGGATTGTTGGGTTTCTACAATAACAAGTCAGACCTTTGATTCAAACATGCCGGTTGGTCTGAATTCAGTTTATTAAGTAAAAACGGTCATAGCAGTGGATTTGTTATGAATAAGCATCAATAAGCTGGTAGCTTTAGTTCCAAGCTGCCCTTCGAAGACTAGCCCTATTCCATGGAATTTTTAATAGATCTTTAGGATCAGTTAATATAATTTGGGGTGAGTAAGGATTAATGAGCACTTGTATAGGAGCATCTGTGTATTGCCGAGTAATCAAATGTTTTTATTTTTTGTTTATTTTTAAATTTTTGCTGGCGACTATTCATTTTTGAGAGACAGCGTGAGTGGGGGAGGGGCAGAGAGAGAGAGGGAGGCACAGAATCCGAAATAGGCTCCAGGCTCTGAGCTATCAGCACAGAGCCCAATGTGGGGCTCAAACTCATGAACTCCGAGATCATGACCTGAGCCGAACTAAAATGCTTAACCGACTGATCCACTCAGGCGCCCCTCAAATATTTTTATTTTTAATTTCATTTAAATCTGGTCCATTAAGGCCTATTACAGTTTAATTTGATTAGTTTATTCAGATGCTTATGTGCTTTCATTTAATGCATAATATACCTTATTTCTTTATTTTTATGATTATTTCTAATTAATTACATCCTATGAAACTCCTTTAAACAGTCATTGTCTAATTAGTCATTCTTCAGTAAAATGTATCATTTTATCAAAATCATGTATCCTCATTGACCTTTCTTCTTTGTAGAGATGTTTCTGGACATTTGTGCTTTATTTTCTGAATTTGGATAGTTTTGTTTTTTTCTTTGTGGATTGTTTGTTTGTTGCTATATTTTACCTTGGAATCAGTCACAAATTTCTCATTTGTCTTATGAGACGTATTTCTCAAAGAACTTACTGCATAATGAATTAAAACATTTCTTTTTCCTGTTATTGTAACTTTTCTGGCAAAACATTTTGCTTTCTAGGGTTTGAAAAATCATAATTTATTCTTACTGCAGATTTTACCAGATGATCTGGATAAATATCCTTTGTAGTTATACAATCTATTTCTGCTACAAAATACTTTTTTTTTCCCCTGAAAATTAACTACCTTGATAGCAAATTCTTCTACTTTAGCTTATGGCTAGCCTCACTATGAATGTATGCTCTCACCGGAAAAAAAAAAAGAAAAAAAAAAGAAAGGAAAAAAATCTATGTGAGGTCTTTATTCTTCTCCACTCAAAGTCTAGAATAAGTAAAAATCTACAGTAGAGAGCATACTTAGGCAATTTTAAAAAGCTTTAAGACATTTTTTAATGTTTATTTATTTTTGAGAGAGACAGACTACGAGTGGGGGAGGGGCAGAGAGAGAGGGAGACAGAATCCAAAGCAGGCTCCAGGCTCTGAGCTGTCAGTACAAAGCGCAATGCAGGACTCGAACTCACAAACAGAGATCGTGACCCAAGCCGAAGTTGGACGCTTAACCGACTGAGCCACCCAGGTGCCCCAAAACCTTTAAGACGTTTAAACAGGCAATATATTTAATGCAAATCCATTTGTGAGCTGAGCAACCATCTGTTTATGTGTATTTTGCATAGTCTGTTTAATATACCTGAACGTTTTAGACCTTGTTCAGATTAGTGGGTTACATCAGGGAGAAGAAAGCTGATGAATCTGCTCTTACAACAAGCAAGACTGCCACACCACTATTCCATTATTTAGACAAGCCGCCTAGACAGGCAATGGCTTATACCTGTTAACATTCTGCAAGCCAAAGAAATGCTATTGACCCCTCATTTATTGTTCTTTCTTTTCTGTTTCCATGAAGTTAGTGCATTGTTGGGGGGGGGGAGGGGGAGGTATATGGAATATATTCTAGGCTAGAGAACAATGTTGCCTATGTACCAAATACAAGAGATCTCTGTGAATGGTTGTGACAATAAGAAAATGTATGGCAGGGCCACTGTAGGAAAGTAAAATAGAACCAGTAGACTTTCTATAGTTCTAATGATTTCTGAAAATTACTTGCAACTTTGCCAGATTCAATTAGTCAACACAAATCAATACAAATCTCAAGGTGTCAAATTCTATAGAGGCAAAACTTCTGCAACTCACACTCAAAGAACAAGTAAGCCTATCTTTATCAATTACCAAGAATAACCCAATTTGCACAGCTTATAATACCAGCCTGGCTGCTGCTCTTTCCATGGTTACTATTTCCTTTCAAAAGAAAACCTCTGACCACCTGATAACCCTGCTCCACAATTTGAACTTAGCTGAAATCATTTGGAATATAAGCAGGAGTTTTTCAGAGTATTTCTCAGCACAGGCTAAAATACACAGAAAACAATACATATTTTACTACATAGTTCATCAACTTATTTGAACTGGACATCTTCAATTCCCGTAATTGTGTTCACTGATGCATAAAACAAGAGAGGGATTAACAAACTAGTACAGACCAAACAGAAGACAAGCAAAAGAGAGGATTCTTCATGCTTTCTTGTGCATATAGTGATTTACAGTGATATATATTATAGATAATTGTACATCAGTAAAATATTTTATAGAAAATGGAAATATTTCTGTTCACCTGCTCAGTAAGATTTACAAATTCTATTTAAGAAAATAATTTCCATTTACACAGTGTTCTTGACTGTGGATTTAGGATCAGAGTCTTCTTGCACCTTTGTGAAAACAGGGACTACAAATTTATCATCATTTAACTAGTTTGAGTTGCCAAAGAAGATAAACATTTTGCCATGCCTGATTTAGGTAACAGAAGAACCTGAAGCACCGAGAATGCCGTCTCAATAAATTTGAAGGTTTGGCCCGCAAGGGACAAGATCCACCTATTTAATAAGTCTTATGAATATAGAAAAAAACACTCTTGTGTATACCCAGAGTACTTAGTTTCTGATAACTCTGTCCACTCTACATTCTTCAAGGACATTGGTGCTGAGTATTCCCATGTCCAAACATGCATTGCCTAACGAAAAGGCAGAAAGTATGCTCATCACTGTAGTTATTTATTATGCTTCCATCAGTGAGGGAACGCCCTTGCAGAGTGCTGGGACAGGCCACTCTTGTTGGTTATGCTTGCTATGCAAATTCCTTTAATGGATTTAGGCAGGTCGAATTAGTTTAAGTGCCATTGGCTGCTGATTTATATTCTCAATTGGTCTACGAGAATAGGGTGCAGCCTTTTATACTTGCCTAATGAAAAACCACATCTCCACAAATTAATGGCTGCCTGTTGCTCATAAAACTACCTGACTGTAAGTTATTTGAGGGCAGATTCTGTGTCTGATTTACTTTTGGATCCTTCATAGTGCCCTTGCACCATAATGCAAGATTGCTCAACAGATGTTCAATTACACAAAGCAAGAGCAACCAAAGGCATTTGTGGGATAATTGATATTTTTCTTTCCCTACACATTCCGAAAAAATCAAGAAATTAAACATGGAAACAATCAGGTTGAATTTCCCCAACACTTATTTCTATGGTGTTTTATTACATTTACTTTACATTTCACCTAAAGTTTACTATCGTATTTTTAGAGCTTATGCCCTTTAAAAGACTTAATCCAGCCTTGGATCCCCATAATATACATTCGATACAAATTTGTCAAATAAATAAATAAACCAATGAACAAATAAGAGAAATCAACCTATCAAGGTGTTGTCAACTCCAAACTGATAGTAATACAAAGACACAAGAGGAGGTTTTTCCAAAGAAGCAAATTATTATATTTTAGCTTTGTCTCAGGTTCATCCTTGGGATGTAATATACAGTTATCCAATACATTAGCAGTTCATACTTAATGATTAACAAGTGGCTGTGGAAGACAACCTCCCAATTATTATATACGAGAGGTTTCCTTGTAAAAATCACTTAATACTTTCAAGACCATTTTATTATTTGCAAAGAAATGTAAACCTCACTATCAAAAGAAGAAAACTAAAAATGTATTCATTTCTAAGTGAATTTCCATCGCAAGCCTCCACAGCATATATTTCCAATTTATTTAGGAATCCAAAGTACTCTGACAGAAAACCACCTTATCCTTACTGTATGGACAAGGTCTAGATCAATCAGACGATTTTCTTTAACTTCCTCTCATAGTCTATTGATTTTAATCTCTGATCTTTTCTCTTCCTTCGTCTGTGTTCAGAGCCCTTTTTTTTTTTTTGCCTATTCCCTCCTGCTCTCTCCATTACACTTCTACCAACTAATTTCTTTTTGAACCTCTCTCTCAAATCAAAATCTATTTTCTTCACCTTCAAAAATCCATTTCTCCCTCTCCCAGAATATTTCCTTGGACACCACATCTAATTCTATGATACCATTTTTGTTTCCTTTTATAAACAAATCACCCAGGAAAGTGGCCATCTTTACGTTCGCTTCCCCTCCATCTTATTCCCTAATCCTTTCAGTCAGGAGGGACCTGTTCCATCCAGCGGGAAGGATTCTCCTGAAGGTCACAGGCATTCTCAGGATTCACTTTGCTCAAGTCTTTTATGCCACCTGACACTTGTTCACATCCGATCTCTCCTTCATTTCTCTCTTCCTTTGACATCTGTGACACTGCATTATATTTTCTTCCCATTTCTTTGGCTATTTCTCTTCTCTTTTTCTTTGTCACTTGTTTCTGTCACTGTTCCCTATTCCATCAATGTAGGAATTCCCCTAGTTTCACGCTCAGCCACAGGCTGTTTCTTTGTTGTATTTCCTCCTTTGGGTCTTCAAATTCTCCCATGATTTAAACTGCCTTACCCAAGCAGATGTCCCTCAAATCTGTGTATGAGGCCTGAACTACTGTTCATGGTGCTGATACGTATATCAAATTGCTAAGCACCTTCACCCGGCCATTTCTCTAGCATCTCAAAATCAATGCATTCTAACCTGATAAATTCTGCAACTGCCTTGCCCCTCATCTCTTGGTTTAAAATGGCCATCATTTGGGCGGGGGGCGGCGCCTGGTGGCTCTGTCAGTTGAGTGTCCGACTTCAGCTCAGGCCATGGTCTTGCAGTTCGTGAGTTCGAGCCCCATGTCAGGCTCTGTGCTAACAAACAGCTCAGAGCCTGGAGCCTGCTTCAGATTCTGTATCTCTCTCTCTCTCTCCCCCTCCCCTGCTCATGCTCTGCCTCTCTCTGTCTCTTAAAATAAATAAATGTTAAAAAAAAATTTTTTTTAATGGCCATCATTTGAGCTTCTTCCTTCTCTTGACTCTCAGAGCTTGTCAAATTCAACCGTGTGGAATCTCTCTCTTGATCTTTCTGGTCCGTTACCACTGCCACTGCTCCTATTCGGCTTCGGCTCTTCCTCATCTCTGGCCTGATTTGATGTGGAACACTCCACTGCTTGTGGCCTATAATCCTGTCTCTTGCCACCACCTGTGGTCAGAGTAATCTTTTAAATCCACAATTTTATCATGCCTTTTCCGTGATCAAAAAACTTTGATATTTTCCAACTGCACACAGAGATTTAGTGTTAGAACTGGAAAGGTAACTGTATATAATTTAGTCTACCCCTGTCATTTTAAAAATGAGAAAACTAAGGCTTAGAGAATTTGGGAAGTACATTGAAAGCTTTCTGACTCTACCAAGTACTCTTTTTATCTCATTATTTTGCCTTTGAATATCCAGTAGTGACTTCGTTTCAGCATTTATTCTAGACACTGAGCAAAAGACAATAAGGCTATGTCAACACAACATATTTTTAAGCAGACTTGGCAGTTTTTTAATTACTGATTCAATTGAGAGGCTGACACTATGGTGAAACCTACTTGGTCTTCTGCCTAAATTGCCTCTCATGGGAAAAAGAATGACCCAGCTTCATAAAGTTGGAAGGTTTGTTAGTCATCTGGCATAGTTCTCCAAAACAAACAGTAAGCTCTGACACTGCAGTGTGGTCAGGGAAGTACAAGACAGATAACAGATGCCTACACACTTCTGTAGCTATGAAGAAACGGCTTCCAAATAGACAAATAAGGCATCTCCACACCCCCATCCCACACCCACAAATGAGAGAGAAAAGAGTGCCCATGAGTTCACAAGTAGCAAAAAGTAACATCAGCTTAATTCTGCACCCGCGAGGGACTCTATACTAACTTTTCAGTTACTTGTCCAAACCATTTGGGCCATCTACTTTTTTCTGCCCAGAATCACTATTATTATTGTTATTATTATACATAAATATTCCTAATCATAAGGCTAATATGAGATTAGATTAAAATCAGAATGTTTTGACTTCTCAAAGTTGTAACGTCAATTCTTTGCAGTATATTGTATTTAGTAATTTAGTTGGAACAGACTATCTTATATTTTATTGTAAAACCCACACCTCAAGCACAAATTTACGCTGAATTGTTGTGGAGGGTATTTAGCCATAAATTAATGTCCAAAACTCAATTTCTTCATCTGCAAAATAGAGATAATTAAATTATAGTACTGACCACATGTATTTCTGAAGATTGAATGCATGGATTTCTCTAAATATGTTGTCTAGTAATTAGTCACCATTCAGTGAATTGTAACAGTGATAATAATAATCAACATTAAAAATAATACACAATGAATATATCAGTCCTATAAAAAATTATCTCTTTACACTACTCTCATTAACCAAAAAATACATATTTTCCTGAAGTATCATTTATAATAATTTTTAACAACAGGTACTTAGAAATTTTATTTTTATCTAGTGGTGAGACTGAAACTATAAAAAGTAATTTATTATATTTTAAAATTACTATTATTAGTATATTATAATGCAGCTATAATTTCTTTTATCAATGATACAGATGAAATCTAATCGTGATAATAATTTTCATCCTTTGCAATTCTGAAAAAATTGAAATAGAAGTTGAAAATTTCTTATTTAGAGAGAAATAAACACAAGGGTTTACACCAACTTTAATGATTCTAAGTGCAAGTTAAAACTTAATAACTGCAACTAGCCTTCAAATACACTAAGTTTTTAGATAATTGATATATTAAACTTAATATATAAGTGTCTGTCTTTTTAGAAATGTTTTAGGGTTTTAGAGAAAAGTAATTTAAATTATCCTGATCTTTCACTTACAAATCATATGTAACGATTGAGGCCAGAGCCAAAATGAGGCAGAGCTCTGCCTGAGTAGTTGTTTGTTGGACAGGGAAATTGCTTAAATCTGAAGAAAAGACTAATGGAAACTGCTACCCACTAATTTGTCCCTAAATGCCTGCAATTTCTTCTTGCTATGGGAGGATGCATTTATATCACTTCTTTTTTTTTTTTTTTTTTTTTTTTTTTTTTTTTTTTTTTTTTTTAGTGTTAGCATGAAACATCAAACAGGAACTCATTTTACAGAGGAAAGAAATTCTTTGCTTTTATCGTAGGCCTATTTATTCTCATATCTCAAAGCAAATATACCATCTTAAGACTTTCAAAAACACTTGAGGGGCACCTGGGTGGCTCAGTCAGTTAAGCTTCCTTGGCTCAGGTCATGATCTCACTGTCTGTGAGTTCGAGCCCCACGTCGGGCTCTGTGCTGACAGCTCAGAGCCTGGAGCCCGCTTCAGATTCTCTGTCTCCCTCTCTCTCTGCCCCTCCCCTGCTCATGCTCTCTCTCTCTCTCTCCCCCTCTCTGTCTCTCCCAAAAATAAATAAAGATTTTTTAAAAAATAAAAAATAAATAAAAATAAAAACACTCGAAAATCTCCCATTTAGGATTAGAATGTGAAGGAGCAAAAATTCTGAAACTTTTCAGATACTTCCTGTTTCATATCCTTTCTTCACTCCAAAACATTTTTTTTCTATTCCATCTATGACTAGTCAGATCCTGAAACTATAAACAAAAGTTTAAGTATCATACCTTACTGTTGAATATCACTGAACAGCATTAGAGTATCCAGCTTTTCAGGCACAAGATTTACTAAGAAAGCCTAAATTTCCAACGCTCACTCCTCCTGGGTTCAATGTCCTAGTTCATATGATAATGAGTATCTGTGTAGGTGAAGAATGAAAAAGAGGTTAAAAAATAAAAGAAATTAAAAAGAAGAAAAGCATAACCGAAAAGTAAACACAAAATGAAAAGGAATCCACAGTGTCATCACGAGACCTGAGAGTTAAGAAAGATCCATCTGCTATCCAGAATGATAAAATAATTCTAATGACTCACAACACTTGTTTGATTTTTTTAAGTGATTGGATAACATGAATTATAAAGCACTTAATTAAAAATTAACTGTTGTGATTATATTGTTTTCTTATAGGTGGTGGTGGAAGTTAACAGTGAATTTCGAATCCAGGTAATATACAGCAAATCTATTTTTTTCCAAATTAAAAATTGAGAAAATGGTTTGGGAGTCACAACATATTTTCCAAAGAAAATTCACCCGTATAAGTAAAATGAATGTTATGCTAAAATTAATAGAGTATCAAAAAATTTTCCCAGTTAAACATCCTCTCTGACATTACATACCCTCTCCTCCAAAACCTTCAGTGGAATGAGAATTCTGAATAAAAGTTAATAGATACTACTACTTTATCCTGCCCATTCAAGGTAAGAGATTACAACACCAAAAATGGCACCATCAAGTGGCATTCAATCAGGAGGCAAAAACGTGAATGGATCAAGTTCGCTGCAGCCTGTCGTGAAGGTGAAGACAATTCAAAGAGGAACCCAATTGCCAAAGTAAGTATCCACCCCAAAGCATAGAATCGAAAGTCAGAATGGATGGGGTGGTTAAAGCTCAAAAGAAAATGCCTTTTAAATATTTTATGAATATAAACCACCAAGAAGTTATAACACAAAACAGAATTATAGTCACTTAGATTATGAAAACTGAACCACTAAAAGGATAAATTAAGAAATTTAGGCACATGGGTAAACAAACATTGACTAACTTCATTGGTAAAATAAATACAAGTGACCATATGTTATCCCAAATTCTAGGTAGAAAAATATAGTGATTTAATTTTTTTTAACATTTTTTATTTATTTTTGAGAGGCAGAGAGAGGCAGAGCATGAGCAGGGGTGGGGCAGAGAGAGAGGGAGACAGAATCGGAAGCAGACTCCAGGCTCTGAGTTGTCAGCACAGAGCCCCTAGCAGGGTTTAAACCCATGAACCATGAGATCATGACCTGAGCCAAAATCAGTCACTTAACTGACTGAGCCACAATGCGCCCCCCAAAATATAGTGATTTAAATAATGAATTTAACACTCAGCATACTCAGAGGGACTATTTCAATGTGTATTCTTTCTGCCTTGATTGATAAGAATTGAATACCTACTTTTGGCTTTTTAAGTAAGAATTCACAATGCACTCTCTTTCATATTCTCTTGTATATCTTCCTTTGTACAAAGACACACACACACACACACACTCATAAATACATCCCCACACACAGATTCACAGACAAAAATATATATACATACATAAACACATATACAAATATACACACATTCAGATAGATATACAGACTCCCCAGTTAGAGTTGCATAGAGTCCTATAATATTTTATTTCAAAGAAAGAATCCCAGTTTCTACAAGTCATTTATTTGGGATGATCTCCTTACTTTTCTGATATCACATCCTCCCCATTTTCAGAATTAAGAACTTCTACAAAGCGTCAGATAACTCTTGTTACCTACACAAATCTACTTCAAATTCTCTTCTGAAACTTTACATTTAAAAAACATTTTGAATCAGGAGACCAAAGTTATATGATGACAACATTGCTAAACTCCTTGAGAGGGCAAGGAGTTCCCTACTCTAGAGCCAGTGCTAGCACAGAACCTGAAAATAACACAGACAATTGTAAATGTTGAATGAATGAATGAATGGTGACTGCATAGTCCTGCATTTATTAAGGTGATATTTTATTATTTTCTTATTTGGTAGAAATGGAATTGAATTTCTTTTATTACACTGCCAGTTATTATGGAAAATACTATAGCTATAACTAGAAAAATATCTATTTCCAGCATTTCCCAAAAGAAAACAGCTACTCACATTCAATAGTTCTTGGGAAAGATGGCTGTTGTTTATCAAACATAACACTTTCTATTTGCTCTCTGTAATATTTTCACCTGTGCTCTCTCTGCAGATTCACTCAGATTGTGCTGCAAACCAGCAAGTTACATACCGCATCTCTGGAGTAGGAATTGATCAGCCACCTTATGGAATCTTCATTATTAATCAAAAAACTGGTGAAATTAATATAACATCCATAGTTGATCGAGAGGTCACCCCTTTTTTCATTGTAAGTGGGCTCCATGTAATACATATGTTCGGGCTCAAATTATTTTTGGAATACCTTAAGCTCAGATCATTTGATTTGATTTCAGGAATCCCAATATGAGACATTTTTGATTGTCTCAATTCATGAGCATCTCATGACCCAACGGAACCAAAGTAAGATTAGGAGAAACGCCTTTATAAAATGCCTTACCAAAAATGTTAGCCTCTGGTCTGTCTCCAGTGGCAAGCTAGAATATTTGTTTGGGAGGGCAAGTACCTAACTCTTACTCTTTTTTTTTTTAAATATTTTTATTTATTCTTGAGAGAGAGCAAGACACAATGAGAGCAGGGGAGGGACAGAGAGAGAGGGAGACACAGAATCCAAAGCAGGCTCCAGGCTCTGGGCTGTCAGCACAGAGCCCGACGCGGGATTGAACTCACAAACCATGAGATCATGACCTGAGCCTGAGTCAGACGCTTAACTGACCGAGCCACCCAGGTGCCCCCTTATTTCTTTTTCTTTAATTCAGTTGAGAATAATTGCTTCTCTTTAACTCTGATCCTGAGAGATTATTTTTGAGTTACTAAGGGAGCCTTTTCTGAATAAACAACTTTATTATAAATTCACATTGCTCAGTCTCACCCGAGCTCAGAACGTGCTTTGGAAATACTCTGATCCATCCTTAACTGAATCACACTTCCATTCTTGAGAGTGGCTGGGACAAAAGTCCAAACCCTCAGCCTCATTTGCACTTTAAGCAGCTGACCTGATGACCAACTTCATTAAAAAGTGTGAAGCCTTCCGTCAAACATTCCCACAATTAATTCTCTCTCCCCCAGCTCAGAAATGTTCTGCATTAAATCCAAAAATAAAATTAATTTTCTGCTTTTTCCCCAGAGTTTATCCCCAAGATATCCATTGTTCCATAATTATCTGTTTCTTCAAGAACCTTATTCTATCAACTTTGTTTTCATCTCTCTTCTGCTTTCTCCATTGGCTGCTTCCACGTCCATTTATCATCATGATCAACACTTATTAATACTTAAAATAAAAAGGAAATAAAGAAAACCTTCCTTGATCTTGTAAGCTCGCTCGGTTAAAGCCCCTTCAATCCAGGGGTGCCTGGGGTCCAACTTGATTTCTGCTCAGGTCATGATCTCACGGCTTGAGAGATCGAGACCCACAAGGGGCTCTGTGCTGTCAGTTCTGAGACTACTTGGGATTCTCTCTCTCCCTCTGTCTGCCCCTCCCCCACTCGTGCTCCCTTGCACTCTGTCTCTCTCTCAAAATAAATAAATAAACATTAAAAAATCCCCATCAACCCATATGCCCAAACACCTTCAAATAGTAATGGATGTTTGTGCTTTCAGTCACACTGCCTGTTTGTACTCTTTGGGCTATTTCAATTCCTTAGCCTTCTATTCCAAATCTATACTCCTGCCTTACCTCTGACAATGTTTACTCACAAAACCTCTGAGTCACCATGCCAACCTATTAGCTTTTCTTGAAACACAATGCATTTTTATATGATATACCACATGGGTAAAATAGCATCCATTATACTTATGTACACATCATATATGAATAATAACAATAACAGCAGCAACAATAATAATACAGACACCCACATAGTCACCACTTAAGCTTACCAAATACTCCCTTTCTTTGATGCCTCCTTTACCCCATCCTCAAAGCCAATAGCCCTGACTCTTAATTTCAAAGAATGCATTGTCATTACTCTGCTTCTTTCCTCACATAAAACCCTTTGCTTGGAACATCTTGCCAATTCCCAGTTCCACTTGCTGAAATTCTCCTTCAAGATCTCTCTCAATAATTACATCCCCCTTTAATGTTACAGTATGCTAAGTCTTCTTCTAAATAACTTATCACGTTACCTTTTCTCAAATGGTATTTTGAGTTTGTGTTTGCCTCCCCTTATTGATTCTAAGTACTGCTTGCATCTACCTTCTGTAGCAAATAATAGGTCTTTTTTTTTTTTTTTTTTTGGCAGCATAACAGAAGTGGATGAGATTTGCCTTCAGAACAGCAGACTGGGGAGGCTAATGGTCTCCCAGTGCCCTTGCCACCCACCGCAATACAAAGAATACTTTTGTTGGATTTCTCCCCGAGGGGTCACACTGGGCTGGTAGGTCGTGAGTTGCGAGAAGACCCTTTCCTTTTCTTCTAGGTTGTTCCCTTGTGTGGCCAGATTGGTGACTACTCCATAGTTAAGCGGGCTCATTATGGGAACTTCCTGTGCTTTTCTGTTCTGGTTGCTTTTCTATACTTAATCTTTACATTCATGATGACGTGGTACCTTCCTGGTTTGGCCTCTCGTTTACTTGGCTGTGAAGAGATCGAGTCATGGTATATTTCTTATTTATTTCATACCAGAATTGAATACTTACTTGCATTTGTCTTCTATTGTCCAGAAAAGTAGAGACATAGCTGGAGGTTGTCATTTATATCCAAACCTGAGCTATCGAGAGGCCTCTAAATCTTGACCCAGGGTCAGAGCCGCAATAGATCTAGGGAGAAGAAATAGAATAATTATTGTCATAATAGATACTTATTATTTTTATTTTGTTTGATCCTATGTTAGGTGACCAAAAAAAAAAAAAAAGACCTATTATTTGCTACAGAAGGTAGATGCAAATGAATACAGAATCAATAGGAGGCAAACCTCAAAAATATTTGAGAAAAGAACGTGTAAGTTATTTAGAAGAAGACTTAGCAGTATGACATTAAGGGGATAAATTATTGAGAGAGATCTTGAAGGAGAATTTCAGCAAGTGGAACGGTAACAGATGTTCCAAGCAAAGGGTTTATGTGAGGAAAGAAGCAGAGTAATGACAATGCATTCTGAAATTAAGGAGCTATTGGCTTTGAGGATGGGGTAAAAGGAGCATCAAAAGGAGTATTGTGTGAAGTGGTGACTTATGGGGTGTCTGTATTATTATTGTTGCTGCTGTTATTGTTATTCATATATGATGTGCATAAGCATAATGGATGACTATTTACCCATGTCATACTATCATATAAAATGCATTGTGTTTGAAAAGCTAATAGGTTGGACATGGTGACTCTAGAGTTTGTGAGTAAACATTGTCAGATAAGAGCAGGAGTATAGATTTGGAATAGAAGGCTAAGGAATTGAAATAGCCCAAAGAGTACAAAACTGGTGAGTGTGACTGAAAGCACAGCTCCATTACTATTTGAAGGTGTTTTGGGCAGGGTTGATGGGGATTTTTTAATGTTTATTTATTTATTTTGAGGAGAGAGACAGAGTGCAAGGGAGACACAGTGGGGGGGGGGGCAGACAGAGGGAGAGGAGAATCCCAAGTAGTCCTCAGAACTGACCTTTAGGAGTCTTGCCCGGTCCTGATCTCAGATGTCGACCTGAGAAATCAGTTGGACCCCTTTGCGACTCCTGGATTGAAGGGCTTTAACCGAGCCGATTACAAGATCAAGGAAGGTTTTCTTTATTTCCTTTTTTATTTTAAGTGACAAGTGTTGATCATAGATGATAAATGGATAGAAGCAATGGAGAAAGTAGAAGAGATGAAAACAAAGTTGATAGAATAAGGTTCTCTTGAAGAAACAGATAATTATGAACAATGGATATCTTGGGATAAACTCTGGGAAAAAAGCAGAAAATTAATTTTATTTTGGATTTAATGCAGAACATTTCTAGGCTGGGGGAGAGAATTAATTGTGGGAATGTTTGGGAAGGCTTCACACTTTTAATAAGTTGGTCATCAGGTCAGTCTTAGTGCAAATGAGCTGAGGGTTTTGCTTTGTCCCAGCCACTCTCAAGAATGGAAGTGTGATTCAGTTAAGGATGGATCAGAGTATTTCCAAAGCACGTCTGATACTGGGTGATTGAGCAATGAATTTATAATAAAGTTGTTTATTCAGAAAAGTCCCTTAGTAACTCAAAAAATAATCTCAGGATCAGAGTTAAAGAGAAGCAATTATTCTCAACTGAATTAAAGAAAGAAATAAAAAGAGGCACCTGGGTGGCTCGGGTCAGTTAAGCGCTGACTCAGGCTCAGGTCATGATCTCATGGTTTGTGAGTTCAATCCCGGGCTCTGTGCTGACAGCCCAGAGCCTGGAGCCCTTTGATTCTGTGTCTCCCTCTCTCTCTGTCCCTCCCTCTCTCATTGTGTCTTGCTCTCTCAAGAATAAATAAAAATATTTAAAAAAAAAAAAAGGAGTTGATGCCCTCCCAAACAAATATTCTAGCTTGCCACTGGACAGACCAGAGGCTAACATTTTGGTAAGGCATTTTATGAAACGTTTCTCTAATCTTACTTTGTTCCATGGTGTCATGAGATGCTCATGAATTGGAGACAATCAAAAATGTCATTGGGATTCCTTAAATCAAATCAAATGATCTGAGCTTAAGGTATTCCAAAATAATATTGAGCCATATGTATTACATGGAGCCCACTTACAATGAAAAAGGGTGACCTTGATCAACTATGGATGCTTATATTAATTTCACCAGTTTTTTTGATTAATAATGAAGATTCCATAAGGTGGCTGATCAATTCCTACTCCAGAGATGCGGTATGTAACTTGCTGGTTTGCAGCACAATCTAGATGAATCAGAGGCACAGGGCAAATATTGACAGAGAGAGCAAATAGAAAGTGTTATGTTTGATAAACAACAGCCATCTTCCCAAGAACTATTGAATGTGAGTAGCCTGTTTTCGGGAAATGCTGAAATAGATATTTTCAGTTATAGCTATATTATTTTCCATAATAACTGGCAGTGTAATAAAAGAAATTCAATTCCATTTCTACCAAATATAGAAAATAATAAATATCACCTTAATAAATGCAGGACTATGCACGGTCACCATTCATTCATTCAACATTTACAATTGTCTGTGTTATTTTCAGGTTCTGTGCTAGCACTGGCTCTAGAGTAGGGAACCTTGCCCTCTCAAGGAGTTTAGCAATGTTGTCATCATATATACTTGGTCTCTGATTCAAAATGTTTTTAAATGAAAGTTTCA